TGAGGCTTTAGAAACAAGAATAAGGAGATGCTTCCATTACATTGAAGATGTTGCAGTAGTTGAAAACCTTATAAAAGTATTGTCAAGGTGTAGCATAGCTCATCATGGAAACACACAACGATGAAAGAGCATAAAAGTTGAATGTAGACCAGTCTGATGAGAAAAAGTAGTATTACAACCTTAAACTGAATGCAAGACAAAGTTGTATTACAACCTTAAAATGGAGGCAAAGCTGCCAACAGTACAGAATGTAGATGCAATAACGTTTATTGACATCAAACACTTAGAAAGCAAAGCCGCAAAACAACACAGAATGTAGACATAAACAAAGTTTATTTACATCAGGCAGTTGCTCCTTGTTAGGCATAACGCTTGAGATATGATCCTGCAACATGCATATGCCCTTGAAGATGACGAGCGTGATTATCCCAATTCCAAGTGATTTCAAGGGAGCTCAGGCCTGAGGCCGGACACGACTACAAACATTAGAACAATGCATCCCAAGAACTTCTAGCAAATCTCATGAAAGAGTATATCATTTGGCAGTAGAATTTACCGTGTCAAGACCGAAACGTCTTTTTAAGGCTGCTAAAAGCTCGTTTTGATCATATTTTGTCGCTTTGTAAGCCTCGATCTTGTTAACTTCCTGTAAAAGTAAATGAAGTAGGTAGTAATCAACTTAAGCGCTTCCAGTCCCAACAGACTGCAATGAGCTCTGGAACATGTACTCTTTTCTTAACCCAAGTGATGCGTCGAAAGCAGTGCAGATATTAGATTCAGATCGATGATACCACATCACTATGGAATTTATGAATAAAAGTGGCAGATTACTGTGTCCAAAGATGCCTCAATTGCTCTATCAGACCAAGTCATTTCAATTGGTGCCCACTTGGGAGGATCATTAAGAATTGAAGGACTTGATGACAAACGATATCTGCACTTAAATGGCACTTCCAGTTTCTTTCTGACTATTCTCTACATGATTTTGCATGGGGAACTACTAGTAAGTTCTGTCAGTACCTCAATCCATGCTGCCAGTTTTGGCCTGCCCTCTGTAATATCATACTTCTTCACGTCCAGCAGGAAGGGTTGGAACCTTTCAACAAATGGAGCATAAGCTACATCCACCTGAGTTTGCAAAGGGAAAAGGATGAATCAACCTATCATTCTTCAAGATAACATGAGTACAACTGATAGTGAATCCAAATACCATTGTAATTTCTTTTTTTTTTAATATCCCTTTCGTAATGCTTGACAGAAGAACTTCATTTAAACAAGGTATATGTGAACAAATAGAACTCCCAACTTTTTGCACTTACCAGACTGAAAGTTTCAAGGAAAAAAGGACCATCATCGAATTTGCCAAGGGCATTCTCAAGGTAATCAAAAGCAGAACCTAATCAAATCACACACTTCAGTATCAACTTTTACAGGAATTAGTAGCCAAAAGCCATGAACACTCAACTTACCAACTTCACCAATTCCATCTGCTCTGATAGAAGAAAATACAGCTCCATTAAAGGAGTCGGAGTAGGACAACAACTCTTCTGCAAACTCTCTCTTAGCAGGGTCCTACATATTTAGTCAGAGAACTCAAATAAAAACACAAGCTATCACAGAATGCAGACTAAAAGCAGCCAACTTAGCTCACCGAAATTTAACAGATAAATGTAATGAATCTTACCTCAGGAAGAAGTGAAGGACCTTCAAACTTTTCATCCAGATATCTGATTAGATCGAGAGACTCTCCTTTTACTTCATTATTATGTACCAGAGACGGCACCTGCTTGACAGTGGAGCATTGGAAAAGCCCAACAGAGTACAAACTAAATTCACATGCAATGCAATATGATTTGCTGTTGAAATTTGACTTTCATCTCAACTTCAAATCATGCCTTGTACGTTTTGTTATCAAGAAATTTCTTGGTATCATATTTCGTTGATATTATTTGTCAACCAATTAAGATTTCCAGGCCTGACGCAAGCAGACATATGTTCTTCAAGCAGTAAATAATTCTTGCCGAGTTTTTCTGAACATTTAGCATGATTTTGGTATAGCTATACTCTATAGTTAGTATCAAAGACCTCATGCAGCATAGCGCAATTAAATATTCAACCTTGTTTGCTGGGTAAACTTTCTCCTTATACCAGGCTGGCCTATTATCAAGGTCAACAGCAATCACTTTTATCTTATCTTGCAATCCCTGCTCCATAAAAGAATATAAACACAAATCAGGAAATTCACAAAGGTGATAGATTAGATCAAGCAGAATCACCAGGGTCCAGAAGAACTCCCCAACAAACCTTGCAATTCCTTGTGATCCACACACGTTGTGCAAACGGGCATACGTAAGCTATGAACAACCTAAAATCAAGACATGAAACATCTCTGAGTTTCAAATTATTACTGTATAATTCCATGTTGTCATCCGAAGATATTCAAAACAACCAAATTTTTTGTTCTCTAGGTTCCGATGTAGAAAACATCGAGATTTCATCCACGTCCCATATTGATTCTCAGTTCAAAGCTATCAAAGTTGTTCATCTCAAATACAATATCACTGAAGGCCAATACAGGCTTCTAACAGTAGTCATGGTTAGCAACTCAATTCTCAACCCAAAATTCTTGGTTGGCCATCTCAAAGTTAGATCAGGACATTAAAAACCTTGACAAACATCTTTGATCGATCCGATGTAAGACGCAGGCCAGTTACAACATACAAGGTAAAAAAGAGAAAAGAACCAAACTCAAATAAAGGAATTCCCACCAAGTAAAGCTGGTGCTATCGATTCCACTGGCATTAAAGAACTTACTTGGTGGTTCCATCAAAGATGTCAGCAGGAAATTCTGAGGCAGGATCAAGAGTGGGTGGAAGCACCTCTTTCACACTTCGGGAACAAAAACATACCACAATCAGTAACAAAATCCGACATAAAAAACAGCAAAGTACAGACAAACAAAAGTCTTATTTCAATTACCCAGAAGCCATAACTGAAGGTGATGGTGAAGAAACTCTGTAAAAATTTTGTCTTGAAAGTGAAGTTCTGTATGGTATGCAAATGTGGATTTTGGACAGAGTATAAATAGTCGAAGGAGAACAACATTCGAGGCCTTAATGAATCAGCACCGATGAATCGAGTCCTCGTGGAAATGTATGGTTCCAGGATAATTGATTATGTTCAAAGTGGCCCATACAACATTCACCTTTTTCTAAAGCCAGTCGGGATTGCTTTGACATTAAATATTAACACAACCGATTGACATTTGACAGATAGTTGTTACCCACTTTTAATTATTACAGCAAAGACTTGGTGACGAGGGACAATGGATTAATATGAGGCCAACATCCAGAAAGAATCCAAACACCAAATAAATCGAGCTTTGGAATAATCTTTGTATCAAACTTGTGTAGTATATCATTTCTTGGGGGGATGGTTTTGCAGAGAGCAACAACATATTTGAATGGAGAGATTTATTGAATGGAAGTACGAAGAAATTCTAGAAGAAGCATATAAGATGTCAACATAATCGCCATATCCGCGAATTTAAACTAAAACATTGCCTACCTTCGTGTTTGTATGATGGCTTTACGAATCAAAGTATTCTTCTTGAACTATTGTAGCATGGCTTGATACTTCGTTGGAAAAAGACTTGGAACTACAGAAGTGGCTTTATGTTTGCTCACCCACACATGACGCGCTATAACCTAGCAAAAGTTTTAAAATATTATTTATCTATTTGGTACTTTAATAAGGTCATTGTGTACATCATTGTTGATTTATTTTATTTTATTTTATTTTATTGACAAAAGGGTGGATCTCTTTTGCAAAAATGTCATAGTTATGAGGTCGATTGTAACCGTAAAACATTAACACTGGGCCCACTTTCATTTTTTTGTTTAATATGCTTAAAATTTTCCTTTTATATAAAATGTTTTGAGTGAATTTGAGGAATTTTATAAATTGATTAGAATGTTTGATTTTTTGTTTGTTGAGATTGATGGCTTGAAAATTAGAAAAACAGAAAGAGTTTAAAATTGTAGTTAAAATTAATTTGAGATGGTTTCAAGGTGCACAAAAAGTTATTTTCTTCATCTTTATAGTATTTTCTATTGATTTTTGCATGTTTTTATAAATTATTAGAAGTTGTAAATTTTTAAATTTTTTTTCCAAATTATAAAATAAAATCTATTAAAGGATCTCTTAACCCTAATAAAAACTTATAATTTTTCATCAAAGAAACATATCAGTCAACTTTTCAAATGTTAAGAGATTTGAAATTAATTTGTCGTGACAATTAAGGGATCATAACAAAAGGGCTATTTTGGAATGAAATTATTTTTACTCTCTCATAACTAATTTTTAATGATATATTTTGAATTGAATTGATAATGTTACAAAACTTTAAAAATAAGGGAGGCGAATAACATTTTTAAACTTTAAAGATACTAAGTGATATTGTCAGAAACTTATAGTTATAGAGGAGGTTTCTGAAATTATCCCATGATCATATATATGTTCTGCCAACTAGTTGGCATATGAGGTTGGCAGACAAGTTCATTTCCAAGCATGGACATAGTTTGTTAGGTTAAAACAATTGCAGCAAGTCCTGCCCTGCCCAAAGGGTTTGTTTAGGTATGGAATTCTTTGCAAGAAAATTTTTTGATTGTAAACACATTATTATTATTTTTTAAAATTATTTTCTAATTTCACATCTATCATATCATAAAAATTATTATAGTATTATTATAAAAAGAATTCTGAATAATCTCATGTGTAGGTTTTTCTCTGTGGTTGCAAGACACTATAGATGAATATTTTGAATGTTTGATTTGTACCCCTTTAATTTTGTGTTTGATACTAAGCTGAGACTTGGGGTCTTTTCATTTCATTTTCTTCTTCTTCACTGGAATTTATTTTAAAAACACAATGATAAATACAAATATAAAAATTCTTGAAAAATTAAGAAATAGGTTATATTTATCGTATAAGTTGATGTGTCACTTAAAAGTAGATTTTTCTTTTCACTAAAACTAGAGACTTGATCAACATACGGTCATGTACAACTGTGCAACAAAGGGATAAGCAGAGCTCCATAGACTCGCTAAATTGCAGATTCATGAACGATCAAGAAGGGAAAAAAGCAGCATCCCCCCAGTCGTCTCCCAGCACTACTTGGGTTTTCATCATTCCTCCCTATTACCACCGGTTTGATAAGGCCACACACTTTACAGCCCAAGAAGCAATCTAAAGGAGAGAAATGCTGAAACGATCATCTATAAGTACTATAATAGAAAGATGCTTTTATTAACTAGCAGTTGGATTGGAAGACAAACTTCAAAAACCTCGTCCAAGTTTTCTGGGTAATCTACCAATTTTTGGGAAGCACGGACGCCTGAAAAGATGTATAGGTCCTATCAATCAAGAGAATACCAAGCATCCGTCAGTTGAGTAAAGATAAAGCAGACTATTAAGTCCGCAGAAGTTATTCAAGCAGCTGCTCACAACCAGAAGACTTCTAACAATGATTACTGAGATCAACTAGTGGCTTTTATTACAGGTGTTACAGGCGAGGTACAACCTTGCATCATAAAATTCCTCGGAGATGACGAGTACACTTGTTCCATTTCCATGAAATATCTGGGGATTGCGACAGCTCAAAACCGAGACTTCATATCAAAAGAGTTGGATAAAAGTTAGAAGCAATTCATCCTTTAGCTCATCAAAGTAGCTGATATGTGGTGGAAAAATTTACCGAGAAACGCCTTTTGAAGGCTTCTGCAAGCTCCTTTGGGTCACGTTTTGTCACTTCATAAGCCTCAATCTTGTTAATCTCCTGTAGAAGTAATTTAACTAGGTTATAACAATCAACTGAAAGGAAGTACTTCTGTTACCTGCTGTAAGGGTGCCGCGTGCTATAAAAGACGTACTCTATCATAATAAATGATGTATAAACCATCACAGAGAATACCAAATCAAAATCAATGCTGATTAAGAAAAGAATTTAGTTTTGCAGAATTGATCAAGGGGTGGGTTATTGAACCAACTTGCTTGTCTAATAATAAAAATGGTGGATAATATGTCCTAAATCTCCCTGATTTAAAATCTATTCATGCAATATCCAGGTACATATGAGGTTTCTACAGAACGAAATATATGTGATTCTTTGTCGATGAACGCTGCAAGTCAAACATTACCAAGCTCAAAAATCTCTTCCCCCCTATCCAAGTTGCTTATATGAACACAAGATCATTACACTCATGGAGGATCACTAAAGATTTTCAAGGACTGAATGACAAGTAAAATCGATACTTTATGCTGCCATTTTTGGCCCGGTAAATCTATCCATGTAGAACTAAATTTTATAGGCACCTGAATCCATGCTGCCAGTTTTGGCCTGCCCACTGTAATATCATACTTCTTCACATCCAACAAGAAGGGTTGATACCTCTCAATGAACGGAGCATAAGCTATATCTACCTGAGATTGCACAGATGGAGCATTTAGCACCCTATGTTTGTTCAATATATAGCATGAAATTTTAAAAAATAAAAAATAAAAACTCAAAATCCAACCAACATTATAAATCATTTTCCATTTGCATATCTGCTTCTTATAACTTGACGGAAACACTTCATTCCAATCATGGTGTTTATCTCAAATATAAGTCCAAAGATGATACTTGCCAGACTAAAAGTTCCAAGGACAAAGGGACCATCCCCAAATTTGCCAAGGGCGTTCTCAAGGTAATCAAAGGCAGCACCTAGTCAAACCACATCCATGGTATCAATTCTTCCATGAATTATCAGTCAAAAATCATGATCATTGATATTACCAGCTTCACTAATTGAATCTGCCTTGAAAGAAGAAACCACAGCTTGATTGAAGGAGTTGGTATAGGACAGCAACTCTTCTGCAAACTCTCTCTTGGCTGGATCCTACAGTTCCAGTTAAAACTCAAGCTATTACAAAATGCAGATTAATTAAGGATCTTAAAGGAGCTCACTACAACTCAACATTATGATGTTTATGGAGATCTTACGTCAGGAAGAAGTGAAGGACCTTCAAAGTTACCCTCCAGATATTTTATCAGATCAAGAGACTCTCCTTTAACTTCATTATTATGTTCCAGAGATGGCACCTGAATGGGAATAGAGCAGTATAAGATTCCTAAAGAAATGTAGCAATTACCAAGAGTAGTTGCGGTTGGTCAAAAGAGACTTTCTTTTCGACTTCAAGTGAACAAATCATCAAATCCTGATCATTTGTGGGGCAGTTAATGATTCCAACTTCTGATGCAAGGAGAGATATACAGTGCTTAAAGCAGGAAATCAATTCTGGCTGAGCATGATTAGTATCAGAGAGCTAATATAGCATAGAGCCATTAGGTAATCAACCTTGTTGGGTGGGTAAACTTTCTCCTTGTACCAGGCAGGCCTGTTCTGCAGGTCAATAGGGATCAGTTTTATCTTATCCTGCAATCCCTACTCCAGAAAAGCGTAGAAACACCAATTCAGTAACTCCAAAAAGTGTTACAGAAAAATCAAATCAAGTCCCTAGAACAAGGATCGGGAACAGCTCCCCAAGCAACCTTATAGTTCCTTGTAATCCATACACGTTGCGCATAAGGGCATGTGTAAGATATGTACAACCTAAAACCAATGAATCAAAACATAAAAAAACGTCAAACTTATGTGAATATAATGACTGAAGGTAGTTCAAATGTTCTAGAAATAACTAAATTTTGAATTTGCCAATTCCTCATCTCAACAGTAGGATATTGCATCCATGTACAATATCCGACTCTCTTCGTCGAAGATTTAATGAGTTTTTTGTTCTCAAACAAAATCCCAAGGACCAAAACAGCTTTAAGATGGGAATTATGTTTCGGTATTTCAGCATAAAGTAAGTTCTCGATTGGCATATTACATTGCTCGAATTGAGAAGTTGAGTAATTTTAATGTCCAAATTCCAAGCCCATGTAACATGATAAGGAATGTCGGCAAAATCCCAGAAGTGCAGATAAGAGAAATTGGAGCAAGTGAAAATTTTTTATCGACAATTGGAAGTTTTATGATTTAAATACTAGATAACAAACATACTGAAACAAGGAGAACAGTTAAAAAGACTTACTTGGTAGTACCATCAAAGATGGCAGGTGGTTCTGAAGAAGAATCAAGAGCAGGTGGAAGCACCTCTTTCACACTTCAAAATACAAAACATCTCACCATAAGCAACAGAATCCCAAAAATAAAAGCGGAAAAGATGAACTGATAGAGATTCGATTACCCAGAAGACATTGCCGAAGCGGATAGTGGAGAAATTCTTGAAAATTTAACATGCGGGTGAATATTTCGAGGGTATCTTAATGGGTTTTTGGGTACAGAGCATATAGAGAAAACAGAAGGAAATGTGAGGCGCGGATTAGCAGCTGATGAAGTTGGTAAGCTTACACTAGTGCCAGGTGTAGCAGCTGCCATGATCACAGATGAACTTCAAAGTGGCCATGTCGTGTTAATTTATGTCTCTGTTGGGCAAATTCCACTTTACCCCCTGTGGTTTAACTTTTTTTGCATAACCCCTTATGGTTTCAAAAGCTATACATAACCTCCCTCGTGGTTTAGATTAAAGTGTCAAAATGACGGAAATGATCATTCTTAACGGAGTCACCTAAAATATAAAAAATACCTTTATGTAAAATTGAAAGTTATTTATTAATCAAGGGGGGTTATGTGTATATTTTGAAAACCATTAGGGGGTTATATGGTAAAGTATTAAATCATAAGGAGCTTATCTAGTAAAATATAAAAATTATAGGGGGTGTCATGTATTTATAAGGGTAATTTCGACATTTCTAGAAGTTCCGTTACAATGACTATTTCCGTTATTTTGACACTTTAATTCAAACCATGAGAGAGGTAATATAAAAAATCGCTAAATCATAGGGGGGTAAAATGTAATTTGCCCGTCTCTATTTTTTAATTTTTGGATTGGCTTATGAAGTGCGGAACTTTCTCTTGGAATCTTTATTCAAGGGGTGTTTGGTAAATGAGTTTCAACTCCCATTAGGTGTTTCAAATTCAATTATACCTATACATGATGTTTGCTTAGGGTCAATGGAATAAATCAATGGGAATAATAGGCTTATTTCATGGATTTTATGATTAATCACCTCTCACTAGAGAATCATCTTAACTACCCATTTTACTCTACTTAAAGGTAAAAACACCCATCTTATTTTCCTTGAATGTAAAAATAAGAAAACAAAATGCCACCGTTTGTGCTGGTTTCAACAAATGGAAAAAAGAAAAAAGAAAAGTAATAAATTGTAAAATCCATTTCACATTAACAAACACACTATACTATAGGTTTTGATCAAAATTCATTATCATTGAACACTCTGTGACACCGATAATAATAGTGATTGTAGAATTTGAATCAAACGGCTCTCAAATCATTAATAAGATTGCCGGTATTTCTTGCTCCCAGTGCCAAATGTCACGACACAGTAGCGTAACGCTAAAACTCAGTAAAATGATAAACCCTGGCCACTACACGCCACTCGTTTGGTTGGGAGGTTTCGCACTCCTTAATGGGAATGAGATGGTAGCGTTCTCCTTTGATCATGTTTGATACATTACTATGGGTATTTTCATTGCCTACTTTTGGATCTTGCAAACTCAAAAACTCACTAAATTGGGAACTGTCAGTCTGATAACCCACTTTTTAGAGGAAAATAAATCAAAATTGAACTTAGAGATTGTGAAGAATCCGGAAAGGAAGAGCACGGGTGATACAAATTATCCCCTCCTTGCTGGTGCAGGTTGCCCTCCCAATCGGCTTCATCCCTCTCGCTCGTCGAGGGAAATGATGCTTAGAGTTGTCTTTGTCCATGTATTGTTAGATTTGAAGCAAATTTGCATTGATTCACACCTTGCACAACAGCAGCAGTTGCTCCTAAAGTCTACCTGTTCAATCGTCTTTTGCTCCTAAAGCTTCACCATGGCTCTTTTTTTTTTCCGAATTTTCTTAGTTTTCGCTCGAGTTTACCTATATAGAAAGCAATTTTAAAAACACGATATGCCTCTACAATAAATACAAATATGAAAACTCCAAACAAATTAGAAAATGAGCCATCATTTCGTTTGCGTTTATCGTGTAAGTCAATATATCGCTTAAGAGTAGATTTTTCTTTTCACTAAAACCAAGGCTTGATCAACATATGATATGGTTATGTACAACTGTGCAACAAAGGGATAAGCAGAGCTCCAACGACTCATTAAATTTCAGATTTATCATCCAACAAGAAGATAAAAAGGCAGCATCCCAATTGTCTCTTAGCCCTATTTGGGTTTTCATCATTTCTCCCTATTACCACCTCTTAATAAGGCCAAACACTTCACAGACCTTGAAGTAATCTAAAGTAGATAGAAATGCTGAAACCATAATCGATTAGTACTATGATATAGAAAGATGCTTTTATTTAACTAGTACTCGGAAGACGAACTTTAAATCCTCATCCAAGTTTTCTGGGTCATCTACCAATTTTGGGAAGCCCGGACACACTAAAAGATGTTCAGGTCCTATTCAGAGAATACCAAGCATCCGCCAGTTTAGTTAAGACAGAGTAAACTATTAAGTCCGCAGAAGTTATTCAAACAGCTGCTCACAACCAGAAGATGTCTAACAACGAATACTGAGATCAACTAGTGGCTTCATTATAGGTGATATAGGCGGGGTAGAATCTTGCGTGATAAAATTCCTCGGAGATGACAAGCATGCTTGCCCCATTTCCATGAAATATCTGGGGATTGCGAGGGCTCAGAGCTGAGACTTCGGATAAAAGTTGGAAGCAATTCACCCTTTAGCTCAGATTCCTCACAAAGTAGTTAATATGTGGCGGAAGATTTTACCTAGAAACGTCTTTTGAAGGCTTCTATGAGCTCCTCGGATCACATTTTGTCACTTCATAAGCCTCAATCTTGTTAAGCTCCTGCAGAAGTAATTTAACTAGGTTATAACAATCAACTGAAAGGAAGTACTTCTGTTACCTGCTGTAAGGGTGCCGCGTGCCATAAAAGACGTACTCTATCATAATAAATGATGTATAAACCATCACAGAGAATACCAAATCAAAATCAATGCTGATTAAGAAAAGAATTTAGTTTTGCAGAATTGATCAAGGGGTGGGTTATTGAACCAACTTGCTTGTCTAATAATAAAAATGGTGGATAATATGTCCTAAATCTCCCTGATTTAAAATCTATTCATGCAATATCCAGGTACATATGAGGTTTCTACAGAACGAAATATATGTGATTCTTTGTCGATGAATGCTGCAAGTCAAACATTACCAAGCTGAAAAATCTCTTCCCCCTTATCCAAGTTTCTTATATGAACACAAGATCATTACCCTTGTGGAGGATCACTAAAGATTTTCAAGGACTGAATGACAAGTAAAATCGATACTTTATGCCGCCATTTTTGGCCTGGTAAATCTATCCTCAATTTGCATGTAGAACTAAATTTTATAAGCACCTGAATCCATGTTGCCAGTTGTGGCCTGCCCTCTGTAATATTGTACTTCTTCGCATCCAACAAGAAGGGTTGATACCTCTCAATGAGCGGAGCATAAGCTATATCTACCTGAGATTGCACAGATGGAGCATTAAGCACCCTATGTTTGTTCAATATATAGCATGAAATTTTAAAAAATAAAAACTCAAAATCCAACCAACATTATAAATCATTTTCCATTTGCATATCTGCCTCTTATAACTTGACGGAAACACTTCATTCCAATCATGGTGTTTATCACAAATAAAAGTCCAAAGATGATACTCACCAGACTAAAAGTTCCAAGGAAAAAGGGACCATCCCCAAATTTGCCGAGGGCATTCTCAATGTAATCAAAGGTAGCACCTAGTCAACCACCTCCATGGTATCAATGCTTACATGAATTATTAGTCAAAAACCATGATCATTGAACTTACCAGCTTCGCTAATTGAATCTGCCTTGAAAGAAGAAACCACAGCTCGATTGAAGGAGTTGGTATAGGACAGCAACTCTTCTGCAAAGTCTCTCTTGGCTGGATCCTACAGTTCCAGTTAGAACTCAAGCTATTATAAAATGCAGATTAATTAAGGATCTTAAAGGAGCTCACTACAACTCAACATTATGATGTTTGTGGAGATCTTACGTCAGGAAGAAGTGAAGGACCTTCAAAGTTACCCTCCAAATATTTTATCAGATCAAGAGACTCTCCTTTAACTTCATTATTATGTTCCAGAGATGGCACCTGAATGGGAATAGAGCAGTATAAGATTCCTAAAGAAACGTAGCAATTACCAAGAGTAGTTGCAGTTGGTCAAAAGAGACTTTCTTTTCGACTTCAAGTGAACAAATCATCAAATCCTGATCATTTGTGGGGCAGTTAATGATTCCAACTTCTGATGCAAGGAGAGATATACAGTGCTTAAAGCAGGAAATCAATTCTGGCTGAGCATGATTAGTATCAGAGAGCTAATATAGCATAGTGCCATTAGGTAATCAACCTTGTTGGGCGGGTAAACTTTCTCCTTGTACCAGGCAGGCCTGTTCTGCAGGTCAATAGGGATCAGTTTTATCTTATCTTGCAATCCCTGTTCCAGAAAAGCGTAGAAACACAAATTCAGAAACTCCAAAAGGTGTTACAGAAAATCAAATCAAGTACCTAGAACAAGGAGTGAGAAGAACTCCCCAACCAACCTTATAGTTCCTTGTAATCCATACACGTTGCGCATAAGGGCATGTGTAAGATATGTACAACCTAAAACCAAGGAATCAGAACATAAAATAATGTCAAACTTAAACAACTATAATGATTGAAGGTAGTTCAAGAGTTTTAAAAATAACCAAATTTTGAATTTGCCAATTCCTCATCTCAACAGTAGGAGATTGCATCCATGTACAATATCCGATTCTCTTTGTTACAGATTCAATGAGTTTTTTGGTCTCAAACAAAATCCCAAGGACCAAAACAGCTTTAAGATGGGAATCATGTCTTCGCATTTCAGCATAGACTTCTCAATTGGCTTATTATATTGTTCGGATTGAGAAATTGGGTAATTTTGTTGTCCAAATTCCAAGCCTATATAACATGATAAGGAATGTTGGCAAATTGCCAGAAGTGCAGATAAGAGAAATTGGAGGGAGTGAAAATTTTCGATTCACAATCGGAAGTTTTTATGGTCTAAATACTGGATAACAAACAAACATACTGAAACTCTCCCTGTATGAAAGCAGGAAAAAAAATTTGCTAAATTTCCTCGCTGCAGAAGTATGAAGCATCTACGAACAGAGAAAACAGTAAAAAAGACTTACTTGGTAGTACCATCAAAGATGGCAGGTGGTTCTGAAGAAGAATCAAGAGGAGGTGGAAGCACCTCTTTCACACTTCAAAAAAAAAAAAAAAGAAAAAAATCCCACCATAAACAACAAC